AACCTGCTGACTGTATAAATTTTGTATCAAATGTTTCGTGACACTACAAACACGATGATAAGTTTGTTCATAGTGTAAAAATTATATTTTGCTTTGACCTTACTCACTGTGATTAAACTGGTGCATTGTCAAACCCAGCTCACTGACAGACGCTACCATATTCATCATTTACTCACATCTTGTTAGTGAGTGAGTGAGTTTACTTTTACTCCGCTTTTACCAACATTCCAGCAACAGCATGGTGGGGGACATCAGAAATGGGCTTCACACATTGTGCCCATGTGGGGAATCGAACCCAGGTCTTTGGCGTGACGAGCAAATGCCTTAACCACTAGGCTACCCCACAGCCCACCTTTCTTTTTAAAACAGCCCTGGTCTAACTACTTGGGTGGTAGCTGAAAAAATAAAAAACCTTAAACAGCATTTAGATTTGAAATTTTCCACAATGTATTTCTCAATTAGCCACTACCCCACACAAAGCATGACGACCTATTAGCCAAACCCTGGTTCCATAGAGTTCGTTTCCTCTATGCAATGTTTGCGTAGCTCTTGGAGATATTTTCTCAGGACTTGAGCACCTGACACTGACTTCCATGGTATGATGTAATAGCAAGGAGAATATCACAACAGTTGGTGCTATAGCCAGGCAACAGCTCTGGGAGTTAATTGGTTCATTAAAGTACGCTGCATTTCAATTTTTTTTCTAAAACTAAATTAAGATATGCTTAAAAACCAATTTAATCAGAGGTCAGATGCATGGCGGAGATTTGATATGGGAAAGATTATGCGTGCACTGCGTACACAGTCATTTAAAGATTCAAAATAGTCTCACTACACCTTACATAAATATTTGGACTTTTTATAACATATTTTTAACGATAATGCATTCTATTTGTTTTGAACTAAACATTTGATATCTTAACATCAGATTAACTGATTTAACCTATTCCTGGAATATATTTTCATATTCAACCAGGGAAGACCTGGGCTTATGATATGATTAGGTGCATGTGTCCATAACATTATAATTTTGTTGGCATTCGGTGCTATCTGTTATTCGCACAACCATCTGACTGTGAAAGTTCAGTAATGTATGGCAAGGTGAGGCATTTCTACATCACAAACATCTGCAAATTGTTTTAGTTGTAGACACATCATCTGTCAAACAGGCAACTGTCTGTTGGAGAACATACAGCATGAAGACACGTCAAACACATGCTTTGTCCTGACATGTGGTCAACCTCATGGACATGTTAGCTCCACTGGCTTGGTTAGCCTAATGGACATGGTTAGCTCTACTGGCTTGGTTAGCCTAATGGGCATGGTTAGATCTACTGGCTTGGTTGTCCTAATGGGCATGGTTAGATCTACTGGCTTGGTTGTCCTAATGGGCATGGTTAGCTCTACTGGCTTGGTTGGTTGGTTAGCTAACTGGGGTTAGCCTAATGGGCATGGTTAGATCTACTGGCTTGGTTAGCCTAATGGACATGGTTAGCTATATTGGCTTGGTTAGCCTAATGGACATGGTTAGCTCTATTGGCTTGGTTAGCCTAATGGGCATGGTTAGCTCCACTGGCTTGGTTAGTCCTAATGGGCATGGTTAGCTCTACTGGCTTGGTTGTCCTAATGGGCATGGTTAGATCTACTGGCTTGGTTAGCCTAATGGACATGGTTAGCTATATTGGCTTGGTTAGCCTAATGGTAAGAGGTACAATCAGGCTATCTCCAACCCAAGAAGTTGAGCATGTAAACTAAAATGTGACTGTGGTGACATCTACATTGGTGAGACAGGCAGACCAGTAGCTACACATGTGAAAGAACACAAAACTTCAGTCGACAAATCAGATCTGAAATCTGCAGTTTCCCAACACATTATGAATAATCCCGATCATGAAATTGACTGGGAAACTGAAGTCCTTGCAAAAAAACATTAGTAACTGGAGGAAACGCAAATTGATTGAAGCTATCTTCATCAAACGTACAAAACCAGCAATAAACAGGGATCAGGGTGTGTACCTCCTGAATGCATGGTACATAAAACAATAGACAATACCCCACTGTACCCATGTTTAAACCATAATTTTTATGCATGCACTGCAACTTCTTTATATTCTGTACATTATTAATATGTATCTGTACATTTCTAAATTAATTAACAATTTTGGATAATAAGTATCTGTACATTTCTAAGTTAATCTAATAATAATTTTGCAGTAAACAATATTTTATATATTCATAATAACATGTATTCATATTAGCTCTGTTAGCTGTATCCATTATGACCTCCACATGTATTGCGTCATCATCGCATTGTAATGTCATTAGCATTGTGACGTCATAGCATTATGACATCACGGGCAGAGTTAACAGTTACTGTTCTTTAGTTCCACCTGATGATGGGGTCAGAACAAGCCCTGAAATGTTGTACCAATCAATAAAAAGAAGATGAAACCCAGAAAAGTCTCTATGCTAATGGTCATGGTTAGCTCCACTGGCTTGGTTGTCCTAATGGGCATGGATAGCCCCACTGACATCATCAACATATCAGTATCTTTAAATAATCATTAAACACAAACCAGTTGCTCAAAGCATGAGATATGATCTACAGTGTCAGTCTACTGGAATCAATAGTTAGATCGGTCACCAAGGTTTAATACTGGTCTTACAGTATTAACCATCCCTGCCAAACACAGTGATACCTCAGAAACATGATACTGACTACTAGCTGACAAGTCCGTGTTTAATCCCCTAGTGCTGAGGCAGGGTAACAACAAGTACCATCTTTAAAATCACTACATCCACTAAGCCATCTCCTGATTTATAATGCGTCCATTCCTCAAACCTCAGGCTCCAGGATCTATACAGGAATTCCACAGATTTCATTCACAGAAAGAACTCCATTTGTTCATCTTTGACCAAACCCATGCACACCCTGACTTTGCATGATCAATGATTCAATACAAAAACAGAGATCAGTAAATGTTTTCATGCAAACCGGATACTCCTAAATCTTGGTTGAGCTGTTCAACATCACAAAGAAAAACATCTTGACTTGGAAAACAGGCAGTTTTTAACACCGAAAGAGATAACATTATGGTAACTCAGTTTATTTAAGCAGAAAATCAAATTTCTGTCATGGCTGAATCTGGAAAAATTTAATTGAAGTTTTGAGCCATAGGCCTCCTAAACTTTCCCTAAAAAGTCAAGTAGTCGGCACCAAAGTGAATTGCATTAAGTTGGCATGGTGAATTATCAACCATTCAAAGAAAACATATTATTTCAATTCCTGCACACAGACTAGTACAGCTAAAGTTGGAAGATGATCAATAATATCCAGCTACTGCCACTTCTTCATGTTGACAATGAAACCAGTCACCATGGATTGTTGTACATCCTGAAACCTGTGCTGTTCAAAATCAATACCCTGGGTTTTTATGTACATAAATTATTTTTTAAAATTCTCCAAACAGACATTGCTGGAAAGAGATTAATCTAGTTCTTTTTCACCTGAAACAAGATATCTGGATCCAGTAGATCTTGTTATTCTTAAGAATACTGTTTCTACTGAAATTGGAGGAAAACATTTCCAGATTAATAGGAGACATGAAATTAGGTTGAATCTTGTGATGAAGATTACTGCAAGCGCATGGCAACATGCCAGTCTTTGTAAAACTAACTTTACCAGAACACCAGGCAGAATAACATGGATCATCTTTTAATGTCTTTTACTACATCGTGGCCAGGGTTTGAGCACCTTCTATTTCTTGGACAGATGATTCTATTCACCAGTCCGGATGATAAAAATCATGTCTTCTGACTAATTTGGCTATTGGAGTATGTGTGTTAGTGTGTTTGGAACACTTTGTGTATGTGGGTGGGTGGGGGCTAGGTGCATGAGTACACATGAAAGTGCTTATGTATGTGGTTGCGTTAGTGTATGTGTTTGGATGCAAGTGTCTACATGGCTTCATGCTATATGCAAACTTTAAAATTTACCACTAAATTCTTTCCTACACATTGGTCAGTTCATATTGTGATCAAACACTGATAAGATGGCCATCTGAGGAGAGAATAACTATTAACCTGCTAAAAATCACAAAAAGTCGACAACAAATTGAAAACGCTGAAAGAACAAGACTTCAACACAACACATGAGTACAAATGTATTGCGTAAAACAACCTGAGTGAGTGAGTTTAGTTTAACGTCACTTTTAGTAATATTCCAGCAAATATGGGGGGACACCAGAAATGGGCTTGATACATTGTACCCATGTTAGGAATCAAACCTGCATCTTCAGCATGATGAGCAAACGCTTTAACCTCTAGGTTACCCCACCACACCATAGAGCATCATGAAGCTGTGCCAAGACTTAGAAATGTCATACGTTCCAATACCAGATTTGATCAGGCTGTCGTTATCCATACTCTGTGAGCACAATATGCAAGCTCATGGGCTTACTAAAGATGTAAAGATCAACCTGCATCACGAAATGCTCTCCTCCCACATAAAGCTCTACTGTCATATAACTGAGGCAGTGTTTGTAATTGTGTAAAACACAACCTAGTCACGTACCATTACCGTCACACTCCTACAGATCCTTTGTGAGGAACACATAATGTCCCATCCTACATACATATCAGAACTAATCAATCTGCTGACTGAGCTGGAGGTAATAAACAACACTAAACTCTATAACACAGACACCAAGCACACAAGGCTACAGTCCAGCTCCCTCTAGATCCCCAGTATAAACATGACCAGAAGCACTCAACAGGACTTCAACACATCCTGATCAGCCATAAGACCCTGACCAGAGCTGGCCAAGGTCATTCCAGTGACAGAAAGTATCCCCTGTATAAACATGACCAGTAGCACTCACCAGGACTTCAACACATCCTGATCAGCCGTAAGACCCTGACCAGAGCTGGCCAAGGTCATTCCAGTGACAGAAAAGTATCCCCAAGTATAAACATGACTAGCAGCATTTTGACAGGACTACAACACATCCTGATTGGGCCATAACACCGGACCATAGGTGGCCAAGGTCATTCAAGTCATGGGCTGTATTGGGTACATTTGTTTCAGGGCCTTTGTAACATATTATAGACTGAACCGCACTAGTTTCCCTTCCGTCCAGCCCCTATTGCAATGCTAAAGCCCTAAGTGAAGCAAGTCTAGATTCCTTCAGGTTCTCCACTCTCACTGGGGCTCCTTTTCAATTTAAAGGAATTTTCTGTTTCCATCAAAATAGTATATATTCAGAAAGTAAGCTTTAGTCAAGTGGCCAATGTCGTTCAAGTGACAGAAAAGTGTTCCCATGTATAGTCATGACCAGCATCTCTCTGACAGGACTTCAACACATCCTGATCAGGCCATAAGACCCTAACCTTATGTCTCCAAGGTCTTCCAGTCACAATAAAGTACATGTTGTTTCGTTGGCAAATCAGTCATGAGCATGTTTAGTGAGCTAAATGTCCATGCTCGCCCTATCAATCTTCTTCTTCTATGAGGGGTGGTGGGGTAGCCTAGTGGTTAAAGCGTTGGCTCGTCATGCCGAAGACCTGGGTTCGAATCCCCACATGGGTACAAAGTGTGAAGCCCATTTCTGGTGTCCCCCGCCGTGATGTTGCTGGAATATTGCTAAAAACGGTGTAAAACTAAACTCAGTCAGTCAGTCAGTCTTCTTCTTCTATGAACCATCAGTTTTTATCAAAAAACATTTCTTTAGAAGTTTCTTCCTGCTCCTTCCACTGAGTGTTTTCACTTGAGAATTGTTTTCTCCAAAAGTATGACATCAAACAATATATCTCAATTCTGGTTCACATTCAAAAGCAAATTTGTCAAAAATAATCATTTTGATATTTTCAATATAACTTCAACTGCTTAAAAAATAACCTTGACCTTTACAAGCAAATGATATAAAGTGTGTAGTTTCTGTAGTTTGATCCGAATCTCTTCCGAAAGTTATTTTCATTTACATGTTATTTACATACAGCAGGAACTAAGAACATTTCAGAATTTCAGTGTTAAGTACCTGCTCCATCAACTGTCATGTTCAGTTATTACAAAAATGTCAAGTAGTTTATTTACCACACAAATGTGAAGAAAAACATCAGCAAATTACGCCTCGTACAATCAAATAATTAAACAATCTCATCCTAAAACCCACACAAAAATGCCTTTGCCCAAACATCTTCTTCTATTAATCTGACAAAAACCAAGTCTGTTTTGATGGGTTTAAGACTATAAAAAGCCGACAGTGCACGGAACTTTGTTGGTATAAAGCTTCAAACACCCAATCTACGTCACTGACCTAGATAGCTGTCGTAACAGGTCGAGATGATGCAATATGTTGGAACCTGGTGCATCCAAACACCAGATAATATACGGGATATGGGATGTTTATCGGGAATTCCTGCCTTCCTACAGCGATAAGCCCCCATGGTGGGACCCTGCCTGAGATTGTGGGGAAATGGGAAGTATATACACTGATCAGAGGATGATGCAATAGCAATGAAAGCCGCACTTACCTCCGGGGAAAACACATCAACAATGCTTTGTATGTTGACGTGGCATTTAAATGAACATTCTTAGGATAGAAGCATTTAATACGTCTTAACTGAGTAGGAAAGTTTGGTTGTTGTTTAGCGCTAAACGTAGCACTCTTCCAGCTATGTCATTGCGGTCGGGAAAGATTTACGTCTGGTCCAGCCTAATGGTTGACGTCATGAGCATACATGTACGCATATGGGACACAATGACATGCTAGACAGCGAGCTTGATCACCTGAGCTGTCACCTCTTATGACAAGCATGAGTTGCTAAAGGCCAGTCTTAATGCTGATCTCTACTGGGCCAAAGAAGGAAAGGTGATTGGATAGGAAAGAAGAATCCTTCCTTGGATCGAGTGAAAAGAATGTGAGTCACGATCCTGAGTCATACAGTGAGGGGGCGAGCTGAAGCAAGTTTCGACAGGTTCAACATTTCTTTATTCAAAGTTATATCATCCCCATTGAAGAGGATGAATGTATGGATGGATGGGCGGCAAGACAGGTGGGAATATAGATCTGATCAACCAAAACTGTGAGAGTCAGATGTGTTTAATGCTGCATTGAATAGTATGCCATACTATCATATCTGATCGATGTAAGTGGAAAGACTGAGGTGATGGAGGTCCTATATGTTTAGCAATTCACAAGGGAACGGTGTTGACACAATCCACTAGAGAAATATATAAATACTTTACTTACATAACATACATCACAATAAACATCACAAATTTTGTCACAGACTTATCAGTATTCTATGGTATGGTTTATGGTGCACTGTAATGAAACCTTTCTCCATTTTTCCTGACATTTTAAAACCCTTCCCCTAATCAATGTATTAACAACTATTATAAATCAACACATAATTTTCAAATTGCAAAAATTAAAAAGTTAACTGCTGTTGTTCATATAAGACAAGAATAACAAATCCCCAAATATCCTCAAAAGTCTAAACAGGTTCCTGACATTCTGAATATGAGATTTTACAAAAAGAAACTAGACCTTGTGCTCAGAGGTCATTGAGGTCAAATCTGCAGAGGACAAAAACAGATGAAGAAAATGAGCATGAGCTGAGTCCTGGCATTACATTGGATTATACATGATCAAAGGCTGCCTCAACCAAAACAAGCAACATGTTCGGACAAGAGAACACCAGACACCTTGGAGATAACTACCAGATAACAAGGATTCAACCAGGTCGTTTCTTTTCATATCTAAATATACTTCCTACTTTTATCAATCAAATGTTGTTTGATAACTGAAGGGTCACATTGCCTGGTGCAGTTTTCCTGTCCTGGCACCCATTGATCCGACAATAACACAATTACAAAACATATTGGGTAGCATTATCAGCAGTTATCTGTGTGCACTGTCTGTGAGCTGCGTGCACCTCTTGCATCAGCACCACCTACTGGTGGTCTATCAACAACCAACATGGTGGCATTCTGAGCGCCAGATCATTGCACAACAGCCCATTACAAGGTGATCACATTACATCTAACTACTATTACTCAGGTGTATATTTACGTCTGAACTTCACGAACTTCTGGTCAAGTAGTCAATGAGGTCAGACAAGTGCTGTGCCCCATATACACTGATCAAATTGCTTCTTTTCTGCAACATTTAATCCCATTCAGAAATAATTTGATTTAATGAGACAGTAGTAATGTTATTTTCTTCTCCTTTCAACACTGATGGGACAATCCTCAAGCCTGAATAGCCACTGATTCTTAACACCTGTTTGGCAAAGAGTGCTGATGACAAACCAACAGTAGGAAGTGGTTTCAACAGAACACCTTAACAGGGAAGAGTTTCAATATGGGCTTGGCAAAAAAAATTCACAAAATAAATCACTAAAAGCAGAATAACTTCAGTTCCAGTTTAATCAGTATCATCAACTCTGTTGAAAACTATAGCGGCATCTGACAGCTATTTGGGAGCAGACGGCAAAGTCTATGCCACTCCCAGCCACTTGAAGGATTACGCAGTTAATCTGCATGTCCTCCTGTCTTTATGATAGCGTTTGCATCCTCTCTTCAGCAAATTATCCAAACGAGGAATCAAACCCTGTCAATCAAGGGAAATTGACTGACTAATCAATCTGGCTATGTGGCCCACTACCCTTTGCCAGTAAAATCCAGTGATTTGCCTGGAACCTATTTCCTCAGAAGATTGGTCCAGATGGCAGGAATCAGGGGCTGTTTTCAAAGGTCACATTCAGAAGACACTTAGAGACACTCAAGCACTGGCTACAAAACAAATGTATCATCAATGAAATTTTAAATAAACATCTTAGTACAGACTCCCTTAAATTAGCGTGAATCAGGCAGGGGGAATGCTGTCTGGAGTGTGTAGTAGCATCAGGTAGACCTGCACAAGTCTCTACTGAAATGATTATTAGTCTAAATCGTAATTTTAAGGTTACATAAACAATAACAAGTTGGTAAAAGAGTCTGCCATACTGTCAGTTTATCTAGAGTTGCCGATATATTGTAAGGATAGAATTACAATCTTCTCAGGGACTTATCATTCAGAACAGCATTGGAGCAAGGCCACAGCTCATGAGCTGGGAGCATCCTGATACGGCTGTAGGGGAGTAAGTTCACAGTGCTGTAGTTTGTTGAGTGAAGCATGTTTCTGTCATAGAATCCTTAATTTATCTGATGATGAACTCTCATCAGTTAGCAAATGCTTGTAGGTTTCACTGGTGGGGTGAGGTGAGGTGAGGTGAGGTGAGGTGAGGTGAGGTGAGGTGTGTTGTGGTGAAATTGGGTTTAACATTGTGCTCAATATTGTTACACTTTTATAGCAGTGTGTGTACACACACTCTGCGTGTGTCTGAGGGCGTGTTCTTGTTTTTACTTGTCCATTAGTCTGTCTCACAGTCCCTGAACCATATTATTTTACCTACAGCCTATCCCTCCTGCAACGCTAAAGCCCTAAATGAAGCAATTCAAGATTTCTGCATATTCAGTTCACAATCTCTCATCTCACTGGGGCTCCTTTTCAATATAAATGGGTTTATTTGTTATATTCAGAGACTAAGCATTCTGAGATGGTTTCAAATGTACCCACTTAGTACACTGACACCTTACCCACACAGTACACCGACTCCTTGTTTTATCCCCTTCAAGCCAAGCACTAGGCAAGGTCACTACAAGTACCATATTTTAATGTTTTTTGTATGACAGGGGTCAGACCCCTGATCTTTCTGCTCTCTGAAGAGATGCTCTATCCACGAGACTGATGTGTCAGTGGTACAATTGACGTGATGCCTGCATCCTGATCTGTTCTCCCAACTGACATGACATGACATGCCAGAAATATTATTCACCAGCTTTGGTCAGCTATCCGGCACCATCATGCATTAAACTTTCATTAAAGAAAACTGCTGATGCAGCAGTGAACTCGACAAGCTCCGTCTCAGTGAATCACCAGACTTCTACACTGGAGCTGAGAGAAGTCTGCAGGATAAACACACCAGATGGCACAGACTGCAGTATACATGTAGACCTTGTTAGCATCTGACGAGGCCAACAGATTCATCAGCTATTTAAGTGGCCATTCTTGCTTGTTACACTTCTTTTAAATCATTCAACTGCTTACACGTTGTTGCTGTGAATACCCTAGTAGCTGCAAAACTGCTGATGAAGCTTTAAGCAATACTCACTCACTCATAGGGGTGGGTATTGCAGAGAATTTTCATATTGCGATATATTGCGATGCGGAAGCATATATTGCGATATGTATTGCAATATATTGCAAGAAGTATTTTTTTAACAAAAACTATTTATAATCAAGTTAATGCTTCATTATAAAGCGGGGCGGTGGGGTAGCCTAATGGTTAAAGCGTTGGCTCGTCACGCCGAAGACCCGGGTTCGAATCTCCACATGGGTACAATGTGTGAAGCCCATTTCTGGTGTCCCCCGCCGTGATGTTGCTGGAATATTGCTAAAAGCGGCGTAAAACCAAAATCAGTCAGTCAGTCAGTGATTATAAAGCAAAAACACAACAAAATCACTATGATTGATTAACCTTTAATAAAAACTTTTAATCATGACAAAATAAAAATGTAAGTAACATTTGGCATTAATGAAACAGGGAAAAGAACAATTAAAAAAACGGAAATATCCGAAGATTTCCGAGTGTTACAAAGTTTTCCGAATGCATGTCAAAATACCGGTTTTCAATCAGCGTATCACAATATGTATCGTTTTCATGTCTGAACCGGTAAATACCGGTAAACCGGTTATATTGCGCAGCCCTACTCACTTACCACACATAGGTGTCGAATGCATCGTCAAGAATACTTAAACAAATCTTGTTTGCATGTTAAGTTTAACTAACAATTCTATTCTGATATAACTGTTAAAGACCGAGGGTTTGGATTGTCAGATTTGCTTTGCTCAATCACAAAGGTGTGTTTTAAATAAGGAAATCACTTCACCTACAAGACAACACAATCACAATAAGTACGTGAGACACATCATTATACACCAAAAAGAGTAGCCCTCCCCCTTGAGAGTACAACTGGTGTTACGACTGATGAATAAAGGGGCGGTTGGGTAGTCTAGTGGTTAAAGCGTTTGCCCATCACGCCAAAGACCCGGGTTCGATTCCCTACATGGGTACAATGTGTGAAGCCAATTTCTGGTGTCCCCCGCTGTGATGTTGCTGGAATAGTGCTAAAAGCAGCGTAAAACTAAACTCACTCACACACTGAAGAATAAACTGACTGACTGACTGAGTTTGGTTTTACGCCACTTTTAGCAATATTCCAGCAACATCACGGCGGGGAACACCAGAAATGGGCTTCACACATTGTACCCTTGTGGGGATTCGAACCCTGGTCTTCGGCATGACGAGCCAACGCTTTAACCACTAGGCTACCCCACCACCCCTGAAGAATAAACCAACTGAGAGCACCCATAATGGTCGGATGTCATTACATTTTCTGCAAGTCATGAGTGCCCCTTGCTGCCAGTCTGCAGACAGAGTAGGTCAGTAGGATCAATCTCACACTACAGGTTTCTTGCCTGGAACCATAGCATATTTCCTGACTCCATGACTCTAAAATGGTTAATCCAGTTAAATCTCCTCAACTATCTGCTCAAGTGGTTTTAAATGATGTGTGACTGTGCACAAGACTTAGCAGTTTTCCTCTTTGATGAAACATGCCCCAGTAGAGAGCTTGTCAAAGTTGTCATAATATACACTGTGGAGGTGAGCTGCTGCCAAGCAACAAAACAGATTTATTGAGTGAATAAGCTTTGATGCTGCAAGTAGCAACATTTCAGCTCCATCACAACTACCTCCTGCAGAGTGCATATTATAGCCAGACAGACCAATGCTGACTGTGCAGGAATTCCCCCAGGGATCAGTCAGGGTACAACTGAACCTGTGTGGTACTAGTGAGAGTCTTCAGTTTTAAACCACAGCAATATCACAGCACGGGCACACCACAAATGGGCTTCACACATAGTACCCATCAGGGGTGGAAATAACTTTAAAATTGCTAGTGTACTCCGGAACAGTGGCACATGTAAAATCACTTGCCCTGATAATTTTCCCACTATACCGGCCGTTTCTTGTTGATTTTTTAAATAAACAACATAATTAACATTCAAAAGTCAACTGGACACCGGTACAGTGTGATATACAAAATTGCTTGCCCGACAGAAAAAAACACTGGAATCGGACGTCGAGCAATGGGTTATTTCCAACCCCGCCTATGTGGGGAATCGAACCCGGTTCTTTGGCATGACGAGTGCATGTTTTAACCACCAGGCTACCCCACCGCCCTGTGTTGTCCTATGTGAATCACTGACTAGCCATCCATTACCATTTTTTCAAAGGTTTTCTTAGCACCTGAAGCTGGTATCTTCCTAACAATGATTTTGGAATGTTTCTATGTCACTTCCACGTTCAAACAAATTTGGAAAGTAGGTATAATACTTCTGCAGCGATACTCGATACTTTTACCTGGCTATGATATATTGTCAAGTTGGTAGATTACATGTCATTGTAACCCTGTAGCATGGGACTTTGCTCATAATGTAAATCACTGGTTAGTCTGACCCAGACAAACACAATTACAAGACCCAAGTTAAGATTATGGTTAGAATTGTTCTTCAGTAACCAGTGCTTATTGTCAGTAATGATTAACTGGAACATATGGTCTGGCTTGTTGCTGACATGTCATCATACTGCAGATGAACAGATCGATGCTCATGATGTCAGTCCCTGGACTGTCTGTTCCAATCTGTATTATTTATAGACAGCCTCAATAAAGCCGAAATATTGTCATGTTTCATATCAAACAAACAACTATTTTTCATGACAGCCTAATTTGCATTTAGAATTGTGTGTTAAGCCTAAATTGTGAATTGCTGCTTCTTGTGACAGCCAAGGACTTGTCCCACATGATGCATCCAGGATACCAAATGCAAGATCTCCTACCAGTTTCCTAATTGTTCTTTAACATTCAGTGCCAACACAAGTTGGACGTCATGGATGCACCCATTAAGTATTTCTTCAACTGCCTCTATGGTCTAGTGGTTAGAGTGTCCACCCGGAGAGCGGAAGGTCGCCACATCGTACCAAAAGACGCTAAAATATGGTACTTGTTGGTCCCTGCCTGGCGCTCCGCATTAATGGGTACAACAAGGACTGGTCGGAGTCAGTATAATGTGTCTTAGTGGGGTATTCATGTTTATCAATCTGATACTGGCCATTCTCTTCTTGAACGTAACAAGTCTCTCGAACCGATGTCCCCACAGGATCTCCCCGGGGAGATAGGAACTCCTGGCCTGAGTAGTCATCCCTGTTGATTCCACGATACCTTCCAAGATGACTATCAACTCAAACTGTTCTCTGTGCAGGTCATCAGGAGACATCTCCCAGAATGGACTGGTCTCATCAATTTTGTGAACAATAATCACTGGCCACACTAAGAACAACCGGTCCCTACCTTCCTCAAATCCTAAATTGACGTCAAACTGATAGAGAGGAAGGACTTCTCCTTCTTTTGTTATTTTCTTTTTTATTAATACTGATCTGATATGTGCTTCAACAATCTGAGACTTCCTCATATCACCGACACGGAATATTAGGCACAGTTCCCCATCTTGTTTACATAAACATGCATTCTTGCTGAACATTAAGGTCTCTGCTCGTTTCTTTGGTCTGGAGAGTTTGGCAAACACAATGCCAGTCATCAGAGCTTGGCAGATAACTCCGAAACAGGATTGAAACATCATCAGGACAATAGCTTCAGGACACTGTTCCGTTGTGTGACGCGAACCATAGCCTATAGTGTGTTGTGTTTCTATAGAAAACAGTAAAGCTGATGTGAATGAATATATTTCCTTGACAGAGTAGCAGCTGCAAACAGCGCTGATGGTAATCTGGCATGACTTGGCCAATGCTTGCAGCTATCAGCTATGTTATCACAGACTTTACTATTACTTCCCTGCATAGAAGTCTTACAACCCTGGAAGTCCATCAAGAATATACCAGCTCATCTTCACATCACTCACAGCTGACACAATCATAAATCAGACGCAGCTCACATGATCACAGATCTTACACAGCTCACACAATCTCAGATCTTACACAGATCACACAATCTCAGATCTTACACAGCTCACACAATCACAGATCTGACACAGCTCACACAATCTCAGATCTTACACAGCTCACACAATCACAGATCTTACAGCTCACACAATCACAGATCTTACAGCTCACACAATCACAGATCTTACACAGCTCACACAATCACAGATCTGACACAGACCACACAATCACAGATCTTATACAGACCACACAATCACAGATCTTACACAGACCACACAATCACAGATCTTACACAGACCACACAATCAAAAATCAATCAAATAAGTGCTAACACAGAACTACATAATACCCTGTTTATGGTTGCTTCCCTTAGTTGCACCATGATCTGCTGACAATGGATATCAGATGCACAAATGTTAAACATACATAACATCGCTCACTTTAAGCTTTCCTCCACTATGAGCAGGGCATCGAGTTCAAAATGAGTTAAAGACCTAGGGGAAACGAAGCCTTATTAAAACAGCTGGATTTAACTCCGTCCCTGAAGAAGTTCAGTGAGTAGAGTCTGTCCTGGCAGCAGCCTCCCAGACTGATGTTCACGAAGTGTAGACGAACACTAAGCTCCATGGTAGGTGATGCAATCAGCGGCGGTAGAAATGGATCTGATAATTCACAAACCAATGAATCATAACAAAATGGTTATTCTTATCAAAACCACGGAAACCTCAGAGCCAGAAAACGGTGCGTTATCTGATTGTCCACAAATTTCTTCTATCTTATTTCGATGTATCCCTGTAGGGGTGATTTCCACGTTGGGGCTGATGGCCTTTTAGTGAGCTTGAATGGGTTGCAGCTGGGAAATCAATCTGAGAGTGTCTGGAAGTCTGTCATATGGCCATGCCATTACAATCAAAACTAGTGGTCAACATAATGAACACCACTTCACACCAACAGTGAAGGAAGACTGGCTCATAAGTCAGCAGTGTCACAACCATGACTAGTGGTTAACAGTATGAACGCCAATCATCATAACACTGATTCAATGAATGACTGACCTGTGAAGATCCGGGTTAGAGTTAGTCTTCAGTAACCCATGCTTGTCGCAAGAGGAAACTAACTACCTACATCGGGTGGTCAGGCTTGCTGGCTTGGTCGACCCATGTCATTGTATCCCATTTACGTAGATTGATGCTTGTGCTGTTAGATCACTCGATTGTCTGGTCCAGACTCGATTATTTACAGACAGACGCCATATAGCTGGGATATTGCTGAGTGCGAGGTTAAACAACAAACGAATCAATCAACCAATCAATGAATGGCAGGCTCATCAGTCAACAGTGACACAGCCATGTTGTAACAAACAAAACTACAGGTTAGAAATATTAACATCACTCCACACCAGTAGTGATTGAAGGAATGACAGGCTCATCAGTCAGCCATGAGATCAGGTTGTGATCCTCACAGGGGGTTTAAGTATTGTAAATTTATTGTCCTCCTGTGGGGGTATGTAAGTCCCAAAACATTCAAGGTAAATTAAGCTTACCGATTATTTTACGTTGCATTTTGTTGATTTTAAGTTCTGGTTAAATGTACCTACAATCACCAACGGCTGAAGGAATGATGTGAAACCGGCTAGGGTTCAGGTAGGTACTAAAAGTGCTGTAAGTCCCCACGGCATAGTGTTCTACCTTCAGTTGCTGGTGATCTATAGCCCGTTTTAATATTGTATTGTCTTGAATTATAGTATAAGTTTTAGTTTTATATCTCTATCTGTGATACACTAGTAGTTTTACTGTTCATCGTAAACAGTTTTATAGCTTCTAATTATATTGATCTTTACTGATAATTAATTGTTCTCGTCACGATATGGCTGAAATATTGCTGATGTAACGATAAATATTAACTCACTTACTTAGGTTGTGAACTTTTGTCAGACGCCTCATGTTAACTACTATTTGGAACTTGGGTAACGTGTGCACCTCTCATTTTTCAGCTGCCTGGATCCTCCATCACTGATCCTGGCCGCCTCATTCAGTTGAGTCATCTCTCATTTTAAGACGAGTGTTGCAATCCCAACCAAAGTGCTTGGACCAGTACACTCTGAGACAACGCATTAGGAGAACAAGTTTCACAATTTAGGGACCTCTGTTGCAATGAAACATAAGACTGACTTTCAACATAATCTCACATCCTGTCTCTTAAGCCAAATTCAACACTGAGTCCTGAACATGTTGAAATGTTGATGATTAACCTGAATATATACAGGTGGACATTTCTTGAATCTTTACACCATAATGAACCTCCCACTGACAATAAGTTTCCAGGAGAGTATTAGTTGGCTTGGTGATAACGACCTGGCGAGATGACTGTGTCATACTTCAGTCAATTACAGACACATATACAATACCTGTGTTACAAACAGGAAGTCTTGACCCACTCCCTCTGACAATATGTTTCCAGGAGAGTAGTAGTTGGCTAGGTGATAACGACCTGGCGAGATGACTGTGTCATACTTCAGTCAGTTACAGACACATATACAATACTTGTGTTACAAACAGGAAGTCTTGACCCACTCCCTCTGACAATATGTTTCCAGGAGAGTAGTAGTTGGCTAGGTGATAACGACCTGGCGAGATGACTGTGTCATACTTCAGTTAGTTACAGACACATATACAAAACCTGTGTTACAAACAGAAAGTCTTGACCTACTGCCACTGACCTACAACCAACAGCATTTGGGTCAATGAACGACAATCTTTCCATGAAAATCATAAAGTTTTACTCGAGAAAAAGCCGAGAGAAGAACTTGAATGAGTGAGTTTGCCAAACGTTAAATGAAATTATATTTATGATAAAGAAGTGGAGAACATTTTGTCAAGTTTCCAAGGGAAGTGAAGGATTAAGCAAGTTATGCTCCATCAATTCCTGGCAGAAACATACTTCTGTTAAAGCCTCGGTTGTAGAGAAGTTGTACTACAATGTCACTTAAGTCTAATATATTCTCACTACACTCATGAGTGATCGATGGAGATCGAGTGCAAGTTTATGTTATAGTTTAGAAGAATGTTACAGTTCAGAGTGAGTGATTGAGTGGATGAGCGAGGGAAATTTAGTGTAAGTTCGTGTTAAAGTACGGAAGAATGTCACAGTACTTAGAAAACTTAGGTACATGTCATAATGCCTTATGAGGGAAGTCTATACTATTTCACCACCATCATTGCAGCCTGTAAATAGTCAAGTCTGGACAACACAAACCAGTGACTGATATAATGAACAAAGTCCCACATTATCAAGGTATCCAATATACAAAAAAATGTGAAGATGTAAGCATGTCAACAACTTCTGCAATATGGGGGACACAACATTGAGGAGTATATTTTTACTCCTTTATCAAAAAGTGTTAGAAATTAATTGATGTTAACTTCTGTACACAACGTTTCAAAGTATATTTTTACTTCATCAGGTGAAGAAAATACTCCGAAACATCGTGTCTCACATAATACAAAAGCTGTCATCCATCTATTTTCACCCTTTATGTATATGACTTCTTAATGCCTTTAAGGACTTTATCCACATACAAACCCATTAATCAAAACGTATTCAAGCATTCACCAATCAATAATACACCAAGATCAAAGATTTCACAATCCCCATACTATAGAAAGACAAAGCATGGCAACATGGTGCCTCTTGTGCACTTAATGCAACATTCTTCACATTTAAAACTAATGTACAAACGATAAAAAGTAACATTCACAGAAAATAGAAATTGTAAAGCCATATATATTTTTTAAATGGATCTGTTTCTCTTCTTTTATGGAGGGTTTATTATGTATGCTTACTCAGTTACTGGAATGACATTTCAATATGTTTGAATCTGGAATGGTTCTGTTGTAAACTGATGTCATCAATATTGTGTAATCTGGCAATAAAAGTGAGTCATCTATTGTACTTAAATGCCTGCTTTCAAAAGGCCTCAGGTTCAAAATTGGTTTTCTTTTCAGGTTTTCTGTAACTAATCATTGCTAAGGCATGTGCCCCTATTTTGGGCACAACTCTACAGTGCCCAATCATCCTAATGAGATGCTGATTAGTGGCATTGAGAGCCAGTATCATAGTATGAAGTTGTAGACAGGCGTTCCCGTTATCAACCACTGGTTTGTCTGTTGTGTGAGTGAGTTTAGTTTATGCCGCACTCAGCAATATTCCAGCTATATGGTGGTGGTCTGTAAATAATCGAGTCTGGACCAGACAATCCAGTGATCAACAGCATGAGCATCGATCTGAGCAAATGGGAACCAATGACATGTCTGTTGTGTACTGTCATAGTACTGGTGTATGGTGCACACTTGTGGTGTTCTGATTAATTGAAAAAATCGAAACTACCAAGTAATCGATCACATTTTCTCATAATCGAACATAAACGATTTGGAACTACTGTTTTAGTCTTTGAAATACTTGACAATGGAACATATCTTAGAAGTTGTCAGGGCCTGAAAACATGTTTAATTCTTAGAAAACTCAATTCACTTATTGAAAAGTCATGACTGAATATTTCTCAAAGACTCCAGGAAGTTTATGTTCATGATATATTAGTCATCACTCTAAAGTAGCAAGTTGCATCATGTTGTACTTTTCTGCAATAACAACCTGGATAGGAAAATCTGAAACATGACGCTTACCAATTTTTTTCGATGATTGTTCGTTGGTAATGAAGCAATCATCAATTGTGAGATTTCAACCAATTCCCAACACTAGTGCACACTTGTGAAGAAA